GGGGAATTGTGTGTGTGCATGAAACAGACGTGCAGCTCTCAGCACTGACGAGTGGCAGGGAAAGCCTTCAGCTTCGGCGAGGTTCTGAGGTTTCACGGCACAGCCAGGACATCAGTGGTGGCCATGGGGCGACACCCCTCTTCCCTAAGACAGCGGGATGCTGATTCCTCCTGGGCGTATTTGCTGTGTGTCTCTCCTGGGATGAGTAGGCTGGGACCACCTGAACAGTTCTAGGTGACTGCAGACCTGCTGCATGTAGAGGCGGACTGGCCAGACTTCACATTTGACCTCTGTCATCCGATGGCCTCCCCACACTCTACTCTGCTGTCTGTGTTCATTTCTCCCTGCGTCTTGCTCTTTGGCTGATGTCCTCAGCTTCTGCAGGACCTGCCACCCACTGTGAGCATCCTGCAGGTTCCTGTGGGCTGGGCCGTGTTCTTGGCCCTCTAAGACAGCTCTTGTGCTCAGCTGTTCCTTCACTGCAACTTTTCCTGGCCAGAGGAAGGACCTGGCCCCCAGCTTTGCCAGCTGCCTCGAGGGGGCTGAGTGTGGGCTTCGAGCCTCGCAGGCTCAGATAGACTCTGGCAGGTGTGTGGCTTTGGGGTGCCCGAGGCGGCTTAGCAGGAGAGATGCCAGTGCCCGGCCCCACCAGGCAAGGATGGCTTAGCACTGCGTCGCTGGTCTCACAGTCCCAGCACAGTGTGCATCCCACTGGCCATGCCTAGGGTCCACGAGACCTTCCAGCTGTCACCTCCAGGACAAATTCATTTTCTGATATGGTTGGGCCCCTCCTAAAGCTGCCTCCGTCCCTGTGGGGCGGTGTCTCAAGGGACTTCCAGTGACTGGCCAGTTGGGTCACTGCAGCTCCCCACCCTGGGGGCTGTGGTCCACTCATGGCCAGCAAGAGGGTGAGGAGCCACCAAGCCCAAGGTCGATGTAGCAGCTGGTGCAAACAACAGTGCCGATCGAGAGGGATAACAATACCACGAGAGCTGAGCCGCCTTGGAACCCCAAGGCCACACACCTGCCAGAGTCTGTCTGGCTCCAATCCGGGTCTGCGAGACTTGAAGCCTGCACTTAGCCCCCTCGAGGCAGCCTCTCAGCCCCAGCCACGCTGGCAGCAGCTGTCTCCCTCCCACTCTCCTCTGACACCAAAACCTGCCAGCACTTTAGGCTGGGGTGGGGGAAGGTGGGGACTCTGCCGGGTCACTGGGTTGTGGCGGGCTTGGCCTCCTGGGATGTGTCACGTCGTAATTACATGAGGCACACTGCAGTTGCCAAACACTAAATTAGAAGCGTTGGCTCTCAGAGCATCATCTGACCAAAGTCACGATAATTATGTCCCTATGAGAAGGTCAGCAGTGACCTGGGGGGAGGCTGGAGACCGGATGAGTCGGAGGGTGAGGGCATGCATGTTCATGGGCATTCTCGAGTGAATGCTGAGGGCCAGAGCAGGGCCCAGGCCTGGCCTCGTGCTGAGAGAAAACCCTGGCTGTGTTTGGGGGAAAGTGGACGTTGTTCTTTGAGCTTTCAGTTTCTGGGGAGATGGAGACCTCCAGGAGGTGGCTTCAGGGGATGGCCACTTCAGATGCAGTAGCCAAAGGTTCACACACAGAAGCTCAAAACTACGGGCGTCCAATCTGCTGGGCTGCATCTGTGGCCCCCAGGACTCCATCCTGGGCACGGCGGGGAGCTCACTGTGCTGCCTCCACTGAGGGAGAGGTTTCTGTCCTCAGCTCCCACCTGAGGTGCAGCAGCTGTGACTCCAGCAACCCTACATCACCTGGAAAGAGATGTGAGGGATTCACAAACACCCCCACACCCCTGGCCACTGTGAACAGCCTGAGCCTCAGGGCCTGTGTGGACCGCAGTATTCAGAAAGGCTGAGAGAAGCCTCCAGTCCACAGCCCACCCCCCAGAGTCTCCCCAGTGTCGGAGGGGTCCCAGGAGTGTGCGAGTGTCCAATTTATGCACACACAGCTGAGCTGCAGATGTCACCCTGGCCCCTGGACATGGGAGGCCTCAGGCCTGGTGGGGTACCAAGCTTTCCGAGAGCTTATCAGGGGCAGGTGTCCAGGAGGCAGGTGCATGGGTGAGGAAGAAGCGCAGGCTCAGGCTGCCCTGGTCCACTCAGCCTGGACCCCTATGCCTTGGCCACCTGGCTCCAGGACAAGGGACTTACACTGCCCTCTGCTCTGCAACCTGAGGGGGGACCGAGCACCTTTACCCACGGGCCACACTGAGGGTGTGGCAGGGCTGCTGTCACCCGAGCCCACCGTCAAGCAGGACAGTAATGGCCCAGCCCTTCCTTAGCTGCCATCACCCAGAGTAAGGAGGTGGCATGTGGGCCCCCGATACTCCCAGACTCCCCAATACAGGGTGATTCTGGAGGGTTCCGGACTCCTGCTGTGCAGCTCAGCTCAGCTGGTATCCCGTGCATGCAGAGTATGCCCCAAACCTTTGCAGACACTGTGGGTAGCACCGAGGAGTTGGCTCTTCTTGCTGCAGGGGTAGGAGGGATGCTGCTGAGCTCCTCCTGGGTTTAGCCTGTGAGAGGCTCCCTTGGAGGGAGCCCTGTCCTGGAACAGTGCAGACTGAGCCCTTTCCTAGAAGAAGCTCTAGGGGTGTCCTCCCACCGGGGGTGACCATGGCCCTGTTGGATCAATGAGACAGCCTGGGAACCAGTTCTGCTGCCATGCCCACACCCCATGCAGGCCCACGGGTGAGGAAGAGTGGAATCTGGGAATCCCGAAGTGCCTGTGTCCCGGAAGGCAGGGAAAGGTTTCTTCCCGATGTTCTATGGCACTCTTCCAAGAACCCTGCCAGACAAATATCCAGTCTTACCATAGATTTTAAACTAGTAGACTTTTTTTTAGGTTTACAGGAAAATCAAGCACATAGTAGAGAGAATTCCCTCAGACATCCTTTCCCCCGGCCCGTTAACATCTTGCCTGTACGTGTCTCATGATCAGTGGACCAAGGTGGATACATTATAAAGGCCAAAGCCTACATTCCAGCTGTGTTAGTGGGTTCTGACAAGTGCACAGGGCCTCTATCCCCATGCGTCAGGCAGGTCCTCTGTGCACAGGGTCCCAGCAGCCTGGACAGTCCTGCAACAACTAGGGGTCAGGTCACTGCAGGTCCTTAACACTCAGTGCCTGCACTGGACCCTGTCTCCTTCCACAGAGCGATGGTATGGAGTCTGGCAAGTCTTCCAGGGTGGATGGGGCCTGGTGGGTGGTGTGCAAATGGCTTATTCAGCCCTGCAGAGCCCTGGGCAGGAGGTGCTGCTGGCACAGAAAGTGGCTGCAGTTTGCAGATGTGCCACTGGCAGCTCCTTCCCAGGCAAGCTGGTGGCTTCACTTCTGGTCTCCTCTCAGCACTTCTGCATCTCGGTACCTGCAGTGATGGGATGGGGCTGAGCTCCAAGGTGGTTTGGCAGCCTCCAGGCACTGAGCGCACAGGTGCGTCACTTTGAGTCTGGGCTCATCACTTGGTGTGCTGGGCAGGGCTCTGTTCTAGGTCTTGGGTTGGGTAGGCCGCCCTGCTACTCTGCAGTTCCAGACCCTTGAACAGGCTCCCCAGACCCCTCATCCTGTGCCAGCTCTCCTGAGGGCTGCAGCTGCCTGTGCCAGCTGCTACCCGTACATGAACTCACAATTCATGCCTCTCCCGGCCCCAGTACAGTCACCACCTGAAAACCTGGGCTTCCAGGCCTCTCATCACAGAAAGGTGCACATTACAAATCCACCCCCCTGCGCCACACCCCGGGGGCTGCTGGCTGCCAGCTGCTCCAGCCTGCCAGTTCCCCTGGCATAAGGCTCTGACCCAGGAAGATGCTCTTTCCAGCCCCACTGGAGGCCGGGCTGGTAGTGGCCAGGTGGCCACCTGGCACTGGGAGATGTTGGAACAACTCTAGTCCCCAGTTGCCTGCTGCTAGAAACAGTCTCGCAGCAATTCTGCCCCGAGGGGTGGGCAGTGACAGTGTCTAGGAACAGCCTGGGTTGTCAACCTGGAGTGGGGGGTTACTGCTGAAATCTAGAATAGGGGCCGAGATGCTGCTAAAATCCCACCGTGTGCAGGACGGCCCACTGCAAATAACCATCCAGCCCTAAACCTCATCTTTGGGACTGGGGAGGCAGCGCTAAGCCGGTCGGAGTGGGACGCGGGCTGCCGGTGGCCACAGGTCCCCTGGGGCCGCGGCCTCAGAGACAGAATGCCCAAGCCTTTCTGCCCAGCCAGTGTGCTCTGCGACGATGTCCAGCTCGAGGGGGGCCTCCCTGCCCGCCCGTGGGCTGCGGGCCTCCACAGAATCAGCACCTGCACCAAGCGCGGAGTGACAGGGCCTCAGCTCCCGGGCTAGGTGTGGTCACATGGGGGCCTGGCCGCGCACCCCGCCGCAGCCCACAGCCACCCCGGTCGTGGGTCCGCGGAGGGTCTCCACCCTCGAGTATCCTCGGCGACCCTCCCCAGTCCTGCGAGGGGCAGCGCCCCGCCTGTCCACCACGGGCTGCACTCCCCCAGCTCCGCGCTCGCCGGAGAAGCTGCCCACGCGGCGCCCGAGGCGGGGTTCGCTCTCCTGCTTGGGGCGGGGACAGGGAGGCCGGGCGGGGCGGGCACAAGGAGGCGGGACGGGGCGTGGCGGCCCGCGGGCCCGACCCCCAGTTGAGCCGGGACCGCAGGCCCG